ATTGAAGAGGGATATTTTATGTTATTCATATTTTACCATAATAAAAAATAGGCTCTAAGGCACCTCAAAATTTAGTCATTTCATCATTACAAAAGTTACAGGTAGCCGGGCGGTGGTGGCGCATGTCTTTAATCCCAGCGCTCGGGAGGCAGAGCCAGGCAGATCTCTGTGAGTTCGAGGCCAGCCTGGTCTATATAGCGAGTTCCAGGACAGCCAGGACAGTTACACAGAAAAACCCTGTCTCGAAAAACTGAAAAAAATGAACACCTCACCAGGTAAAGCTGCTTTTTACTTTTATGCAACCACTTCAAACATAAAATGAAACAATCAGAAGAAATTGCTAAACCCACCATGATATGTTAGAGATGCTGAAAAATCTTAACTCTCTACAAGTTGTCAGACAAAAGTGACCAGAGGCTGGAGAGTTGACCAGGGTGCTCTGATGGATATGCCCGGAATCCTTTATGCAGCTTTTTTTTCTTTTTTCTTTTTTCTCATCCAGCAGGATAGTGGACATTCAGACCAAGAGTGCCTCCCAGAACCAGCAACATGCCTTTCCAAAGAAGACAGTCTTGCTGGGAGAAACTATGCAGGAGAAGCTGACCAGATACCGTAAGAGGGTCACTTTGGCCCTCAGGACTCTGGAAGGGGCCATTGAGGGCACCACACAGACAAGAAATACCCCTCACTGCTAACTGCTAAGTCTATGTCTAAATGCAGAGGCTCATGGAGTGAGATAATAAGGCAAGAGATGAAGATGCAGTGTGCGTTGTCTCTAAGACATCTGTAAGAGCAACCACCTGAGAGGCACACAGTGCATGCCTGTCTACCCGCACCCCACTCCTCACAGTGAAGAATGCAGGTCCCTGAGCCATATGTGTGCTTCATCCAGATCAATCTCACCAAAGTGGCCAGCACCAACAAGTTCCAGAACTTCTGAGACTGGACGCCCGCCCCAGCTAAAAAATAAAATAAAGCCATTGCTCTATTTAAAAAGAGACTATAATAGAAAGTTTAAAACACTGACCATGTGTAGCAGGAATCTTAAATGGTCTTATTAATAAAATCAAACCTGGAGCAGGTATTGGGGTGAATGCTGGAAGATCAGAGAAGCAGAACAAGCCACAGCTAACCTCGCCTCGCCAATTCCTCAGGTGATCCTGTTTCTTCAGGCTGGAAGCCTCTGTGTCCTCATCCAAATGGATCTCAGCTGAACTGCTGCTAGAAGCCTAAAAGCTTAACCAGCCAAATGCTTCTAGTTCCTGGTCTTCATGCCATATATACCTTTCTGCTATCTGCCATCACTCCCTGGGATTAAAGGCATGTGTCTCCATGCCTGGCTGTTTCCTTGAACTCACAGAGATCCAGAGGGATTTCTGCCTCTGGAATGCTATGATTAAATGTGTGAGTGCCACCATTTTCTAGCCTCTGTATCTAGTGGCTGTTCTGTTCTTTGACCCCAGATAAGTTTATTAGGGTGCACAATATTTTGGGGAACACAATACCACCACAACCATGTGTCACAAAACAAATCCTGACAAATAAAAACCAGTATCATATTGGCCACATGAGCAATTAACTCAAATCTTAACAGCAGAAAAATAAAATTCCTATATGGTTGGAGATTCAGAACTAGATTTAAAAAAAGCATAGCTAAAATATGAAAATTAGGTGGTATTTAGATTAAAATAAGAAAATCTACAAACAGATAATCAATATGAGGGGTCAACCCTAATATACACTGAATTGTAGGTGACTATGACCAGTGCTTATTCGTGAACATAACAAATGTGCCTTGTAGTGAGGAGGCTAGTCGCAGACACTGGATATGTGCAGGGTTGGGGGAGGGGAGTTGTGTGGTGGTAGGGTACATATGAAAAACCTCTATGCTATGTTCTGAAGTTTGCTGTGACATTGGTCTAAAAAGTCTCCTTAAAAGCTGTGAGAGAAAGGGCTGACTAGAAGACTCAGCAGATAAAGGCACCTGCCACCAAACGTGACCAACTGAGTTTGATGGCTAGGACTCACATAGGAGGAGAGAACTGACTCTCACAAGTTGTCTTTTTGCCTCCATACCCATGCAACTAATAAAAAAAAATTAAATGTGAGGAACAGCCAGGAAAGCACCCTTCTGGTTGGGACCTACAGTTGTCCTTGTTCTTGTTCTAAGTCACACCCCTCCATATCATGACAAAAACAGTATAGGATTTGTGTTGGAACAGTCAAATCAATTGATTTAAAAGATAAATGCAGCCAGGGGCATGGTGGCATATGCCTTTAATCCCAGCACTTGGGAGGCAGCCTGATCTACAGAGTGAGTTGCAAGACAGTCAGGACTACACAGAAAAACCCTGTCTCAAAACACCAAACAACAAACAAACAAATAAATGCCACTGCTTAGGAAGCACTGATCCCTGGACTTTCCCTGGATATTTTTTGATCCTTCATCATGTAGTTCTTTGATGATTTTAAAATTAAATTTGCCTGTAACTCACAGAGACCCACTTGCCTCTGCCTCCTGAGTGCTGGGGTTAAAGTCCATGTGTCACCATGCCCTGGCTCTACCCAGGGATTTTCCTCAAAGCTGGAAGGTGGGCAAAGGGTTCTAGAAAATGCTCAAGTCACTTTAAGATGTGTTTACCAACTACATTTGTGTGTGTGTGCATGCACATTCTGCTTCCTGTGAGCATGCTCATGCACACCGTTCCATAGGGACTGAATTGCATATGGGTTTTGTTATTACATATGCATTCTCGTGTGGCTAAATACTACTTTTAAATGAGATAACAGTGACAGGTACACACTAGTCCATATTTATAAGGGGTATACTATAAATTAGTGCTGTTCTAAGTGTTCTACACATGTTGCCTTATTTAAATAGTCACAACAACCCTGTGGGGGAGTGTTATTATCTCCTTTCTAGGGATGAGGGAACAGAGGCAAAGAGAAATCAAGTAGCTTACCCAAGACCAGATGTTGATGGTGGGGCTGGCATGAAAGAAGAAAAGCAAAGTTACACCAAACTACCTCAGTTGTGTGGAGCAGGAAGCGGGGTATTTACTGGTTTGTTTTATTTTGTTTCTGCTTTTTTTTTGTCTTGGTGCTAGGATTGAATCCAGTGCCAGACAGTCTCAGTATATGATCCAGCATTGAACTCCACCCCTAGACCAAGTTCTTCACACTGCAAATCACAAGCTTATCATTTTTATACGACAACACGGTCAGATACGCCTGCCATTGCATGTGGTTCAACCTAAGAAGCGTAAAACAAAAACAAATGCAACCGTAATGATAACATCAAGAAGCTCTGATGGCTGCAGCTCCTCTTAAACTTATCAAGTTCTTCTGCATGCCGATCCTGGATGCTGTGACCTCGGAAGCACAGAAGAGTGGAGTTAAACACCTAAAGGACTCTCCAACATTACACTTGAAATTCGCGGGAGAGTTCCTTGGGAGACAGTGGTCAGGCTCAGTGTGCAGCGTTGTAGAGCCAATCGTACCGGAAAAGGGTGGGTCAGCCGCTCCTTTGGCAGCTGGTCTCTGGTTCTCCTTTCCATCCACAGTCTGTTAAACCAGCCAAGATGTAGCCATGGGTTTGGCTTGTTTGCACACTTCTGAGCAAACCCCGAAGAAACCCAGACAAAGCAACATGCTCCTCATTAGAGCACCCAACAGCATGAGATCAAAGGTCCTCTTCCCCCAGCTCCTGGCTGTACATCAACTCCCAGGAAGCTGGAAGTGGAACGGAGAGAGGAGACAGGTACACATTCCCTCAGGTTCAGTCTGTCTGGCCTGTGCAATTACAGTCCTGATGTTTTCGCTGACATTTCTAAGAGTCATCTTTCCTATCTGTTGAGCAGCCTAATCTCTCTCTCGGCCTTTTCTTTCCAACGAATCAAACCTCAACCTGGTGACAGAATATCGGATGTGAAACACTGATTACCCTGTGTCCTTTCTCAAGAACGAGCATGTAACATATTTAATTCAAAGTCTTTAGTGGAGGCATCTGCCAGTTCTCATCACTTTTACAACAGTGCATCACATGAATCTGAACAAAACATCAGTGGCTGGATCTAGGCAGGAGCCTACTGTGGGGACAGAAACAACAGTTCTGGTTCTGAAAGGTACAGTGACATTTTCTAGCAAAATGGGATCCCTATGGATGTGAGCGGTGAATGAAGTATACCTGCGAAAATGTGGTTAGCAAGGCATCTGAAGGTGATCGGAGCATTTTCTAGAACCCTCTGCTCCAAGCTCCATAAATCTCCTTTTCTCATGAAGCAAGGGCTGTGTGATAACTCACACCGTGCTGTCCTTCCTCTTTTGCTCTCTCATCTGCCCAGGATGAAAAACTCAAGATTGATGGTGATGTCCCTCTGGGGGAGCCAGAGGTGCCATTCACCCTCTGCCAGTCTTCACTCCACCCTGCTCTGCTGTGGAGGACAGGCTTCATATCCCTCTTTTCGCCCAAATCTTTCCAATGACTCCTTGAATTTTGGGTTAAGGAGGCTGAGGAATTAAAGCTGGCCCAGCTACATAACTCAAGAAATACTCTCAGGACCAGGGAGATGGTGCAGTGGGTAAAGGTGCCTCCCCCCAAGCCTGATAACCTGAGTTCAATCCTCGGAAAATTCCACATGTGGAAGGAGAGAAACAGTTCCTATAAGATATTCTCTGGCCTCCCATGAGTGCCATAGCATACATCTGTGCATGCCCAGGTGCATGCACACACACACATTAAAATAATAAAAATGCAATACAAAGCCAGGCGGTGGTGGCACACGCCTTTAATCCCAGCACTCGGGAGGCAGAGGCAGGTGGATCTCTGTGAGTTCGAGGCCAGCCTGGTCTCCAAAGCGAGTTCCAGGAAAGGCGCAAAGCTACACAGAGAAACCCTGTCTCGAAAAACCAAAAAAAAAAAAAAAAAAAAAATGCAATACAAATTTAAAAAAAGGAAACACCTTTCACAAAGGGCCAAACAGCAGCTACAGAGAGCTCCTTCTGCTCCTCCACTTAAACCTTCCACTGCTGCTTTCACAGGCTCCAAGGGAAGGATGGTCCTACTTCTGCTCGTCCCTTGTCGTCTTCTAATCCTCAGAGCTTTGTCTTTTACCTTCTTGAGATCACTTTGCTACCACCGGGTAGAAAGTTACAGGTAAGAAATGGGAGTAGAGAGAAAGATGGACAGAGCGGTGCCCACACTTGGCTTGGTTTGTGCTGGGCACTCTGTTGTTCACAGAGAAGTGGAGAAACATGGTACCTCCTTCCAGGTGATACGTCACCTGCAACCTGCGGAGTCTATTGCTCCCACAAGCACCTGAAACTGCAAACCCTTGGGGGCAGACTGTCCTTCCTCAGGTTAAATTACTGTCCCCACAGCAACCTTGGCTCGAGAGCACATAGACATACTGCCTTCCACCTGCCTTCTCCACGGAGGAAGAAACTATTTGCTTTTCTTTGATTTCTTTGTTTATTTGCCTTTGAGATAGGGGTTCGCATAGTCCAGGCTGACCTTGAACTGTGTAGCTCAGGATAACCTTGAACTCCTGATTCTCCTGTCTCCACTTCTCAAGTACTGGATTATAGTCATGGGCTACCACACCCAGTTTATGTAGTACTGGAGATCATATCCAAGACCTCAGGTGAGCCAAGCAAACACTCTACCAACTGCCACATCACCAGCCTAAGGAAAGCCTCTCTCTGCACCACTCCCAACTCCCATTACTGGTTTTCACATCTCTTCAAAATCTATTCTACTAGATCTATGGGCCGCGAGAGAGACGGCCCACCAGGGAAAGCGCTTGTTGCACAGGCATGAGGATCTGGGTTTGGATCCCCAGCACTGGTGTTAAAAAAAAGCAGGGTGCATGTCTGTAAACCCAGCTCCGGTGGGAGGTGGAGGCAGATGGATTCTGGGGGGCTCACTGATGAACCAGTCTAGCTGAAAGAGTGAGTTCCAGGCTCAGGGACAGACCCTGTTTCAAAAAATAAGATGGAGAGCGACAGAGGACTGACACCAGCCTCTGGATTTCACAGAAACATTCAGGTGTGTGTGCACCTGCACACACAAGGGCACAGATAACATACACATAAATAAAATTAAAATAATCTATTCCAGAACAACTTTAATTTTTTAAGAGAAAACCCCATGTTATAAAAGAACAAGGCATAATAGAAAAGATAAATAAATTTGGCTATGCCTAAAGCTTGTTTCCTGTTTGGGGGGGTATAGAGTGCTGGAGGGGCATGGAGCTCTAAAGATGGGGGGGTGTCTCATACATCAAGCATATGCACACCACTGAGCCTTATCTCCAGCCCCAACCTTCTTTTCCTTAAAGGCGTATTTACAAAGTGAGATAACCAATCACCAGGTGGAAGACAGTAGCTATTCAATGATGTATAAAAAATTTGTACACAGAATATGTGAATAACTGATTAAAAAAAATCAGTAAGAAAATGTGGTGGTATTGTGTTCCCCAAAATATTATGCACCCTAATAAACTTATCTGGGGTCAGAGACAGAACAGCCATTAGATACAAAGGCTAGAAAATGGTGGCACTCACACCTTTAATCCTAGCATTCCAGAGGCAGAAATCCCTCTGGATCTCTGTGAGTTTAAGGCCACATTGGAAACAGCCAGGCATGGTGACACACACCTTTAATCCCAGGCAGTAATGGTAGAAAGTAGAAAGGTATATAAGGTGTGAGAACCAGAAACTAGAAGCACTTGGCTGGTTAAGCTTTCAGGCTTCTAGCAGCAATTCAGCTGAGATTCATTCTGGATGAGGACTCAGAGGCTTCCAGTCTGAGGAAACAGGATCAGCTGAGGAAATGGTGAGGTGAGGTGGCTGTGGCCTGTTCTGTCTCTCTGATCTTCCAGCGTTCATTCCAATACCTGGCTCAGGTTTGATTTTATTAATAAGAACTTTTAAGATTCATGCTACAAGAAAAAGCAACCTGAATAACATAAAATGTGCCCAACCAGGAAGAGATCATCACTTGAGTAGAAACCCAGAGGGCCGAAAAAATGTCCCAAAAGATACACAAATTCTCTACTCTTCAGAAAATATCAACTGAGGCTGGGCTTGGTGGCACATGTTTTAATCCCAGCATTTAAGAGGCAGAGGTAGGTGGATCTCTGAATTCAAGGCCAGCATGATCTACAGTGTGAGTTCTAGGACAGCCAGGACACAGAGACACCTTGTCTTGAAAAATCAAAAAGGAAAAAAAAGTCAATTGAAATAGCCATCGGATGGGCAAGCTTTTCAAGGGTTATGAGAGGGCAGAAGGACTGGAATTCTTGCACACAGTGAGAGAACACTGGGAATATGCATGTCGGTGCCTGAAGAGGCAGGAAGAGGAAACTGGACCCCCTGGAGGTAGAGTCACAGGTGGGTGTGAGCAGCCAGATATGGGTGCTGGGGAGCCAATTCAGGTCCTCTGCAAGAGCAGTGAGTACTCTTAATTGCTGAGCCACCTCCCTAGTTCCCACTTGTGGCCATCCTGCCGGGTGTGAGGAGATGAATCTCTGTGCCTTGTTTTCAGATCTCTGATGACTGCATTTGCTTGCGTGCCCTTGTGTGCCTTCTCTGGATAGATCTCTACTCCAGTTGTCTGCCCACTTTCTAAGGAGATTGCTTGGGTGTGCTGTTGAGTTGTGAGGTTTCCCTAGAGGTTTTCGGGGTTGACCCTGTCAGATGCTTTGCAACACCATCCTGTTTTACAGGTCACTTGTCTGCAGCGTTGCTCTCGTCCTGCGTGTGCAGGTCTGATGTTTAGCATGCTCTCAGTTGTCTGTTTTTAGCTTCTGTGACCTATGCTTTGGGTATCATCTCCAAGGAATAACTGTCAAATCCAAACTCATGAAGCTTTCCCCTATATTTCACATTAGGACAGGAGAGTTTTCTGGTTTCAGGTCTTACATTTGGGTCATTGACACATTTTCAGCATTTTGCTTTTTTTTGTTTTTGGTGGTGTTGGCAATTTTGGTGGTGTTGGCAAGCTTCTCTTTCTTGTGTGTAGATGTCCAATTTTCCCAGCACCGTTTGCTGAAGAGATGAGTCCTTCTCCACTGGGGTTCTTGACATCTTCACTGAAGATCCCCTGACCTTGCACTGGTTTTTCTTGCTTGATTGTTGGGGCTAAAACTCCCAGAACAGACAGACACCTTCACCTTGTTTCTGACCTTAGAGGGAAGCCTGGGGGCTTTCAGCACTGAGTATGCTATCTGTGGACAACTGGTCTACCTCTTGATAGGAGCATGGTTAAGTGGATTGTGGTTTAGTCATTTCTTCATAACATATCAATAAAAATGAACTGAAGTCTATGAGCAACAGAATGAATGGCAAAATGTTGAGAGAAAAAAGCAGCTCACTGGAGAATTCATACATCACGACTGAAGTTTTACAAGAATTCAGATATATTTAGAGCTATATAAGGTCTTGGCCAAGGTCTATATGTAACAAAGCTAAACTGCAGGTGATGATAAATGTAAAAAATTATTAGAGTAGATGTTTCCTCCAGAGGAAGAGAAGATGAAAATAATTAGGATGGGACACAAAGGAGGCTTTGACATCTTAACAACAATCTAGTTCTTAAGCCAGGGGATTAGGCACAGAGGCATGTTTTCTTTGTTTACTCTTATATTTCCATCACATATGCTTTATCTGCATGAAATATCTGAAGGCAATAGAAAGCATTTACACGCTCAACAAAATTTCTCAAGCATCCTATGTGTCAGTCACTATGGCAAGAAACTGAAGTGAATAAAACAAAGTGAAAAGAAATATTTCTCAAGTTAGAGTGTGGAAATAGCAAACAAATATTTCAGCTACTGGGATTTCAGTAAAACCACACCAAATTCTATCAGGAATGAGCCACAATGACCAGGAGAGCACTCTCAACCTGTAGCCCCAGAATGGCATGGTATTTATAATAAACTTCCTGTTATTGATGCTAAGCAAGAGACACAATGATGTGTACAATTTAAGAGATAGGTTTACACAGTCAACCAGATGGACTCTATGGGGAGGAGGCAAACAGAGACCAGCCAACAATAGTTAATATAACACATCAATTAACCCAAATAACAGAAAGAGATAATGCCACTGTCATTTGCTTTGGAGGACCTTATTCCATGGATGTAGTATATCCACTTAAGATACTTTTGTCTTGAAAACTTCAAAAGGGGTGTGTGTGTGTGTGTGTGTGTGTGTGTGTGTGTGTGTGTGTGAGAGAGAGAGAGAGAGAGAGAGAGAGAGAGAGAGAGAGAGAGAGAGAGAGAGATGCATGGGTGCACATGCTCATGTGCAATGGCATTCATGTGGAGGTCAGAGAACAACTTGCAAGAATCGGTTCTCTCCTTCCATCATGTGTGGTCTGGGGATGGAACTCAGGTCTTCGGACTGGGCGTAGATGCTTTTACCCACAGAACCATCTCGCCAGCCTTCTCTTAGGTATTTTAAGAAGCAATTTCACTAACTTCGCACCTGTCTGAGACTGGACTGCTCGCCTCCATAACTCACTCAACTTCTGGGTATCAGTCATTACTCTGAGTGTTGGGGAGCGATGACAGACAGGGGATGTTGATTCCTGTCTTCAAAGATCACAGTTTATAGGGTACTGGGGTGAGGAGAGACTCTAAAAACAAGATTACAAATAGTAAAACAGAAATATAAAGAAAGTGCTGAGGGCGCGTGGAAAATGGAATACTCCACTCTTTGGAAGGGAATGTTCCTTTGACACCTTCTCAGAGGTGGTGAAACTTCTTAAGCTTCAAAGACCAGAAGGGAATTTCGTAGGAGAAGCATCCTAGAAAAGGACCAATATGTAAAGAGGAGCATGTTTCCCCAGGGTGTGGGGCATCAGGAAGGTGTCCCTGGCAGGGATGGTGAGAGATTTAAAGGCACACGCGCTGACCTTTGGCAAAAGCAGATCCTTCCTTTGGGTGTGATTAGGGTGTAGAAAAAGGACCAGTGTAAGAATCAGAACCACACTCAGACCCAGGCTCTGCCATCCCTAGAAGAAAGAGTCTGAGTGTAGCCTTTAATCTCTCTGAGTTTCCATTTTTTAATCTACAACATAGAAATACCAAGGCCTTTTGATTGGGAAGCTGAAGGATTCAGCTGGCCTGGAAATGAAAAGCATCTTGTTCTCAAGCACTAGCCCCTCTTCTCCCAGCTCTGATTTTTGTGTCTCCTAGAGCAGTGTTTGAGCATTGCCAACACAGTCACCTAAAAAGATCACCTGAGCAAGACACACACTCAGCTTTTTTGAGGACACATTAGGCATCCAGAGTAGGATTAATATGTGTAACATGTCCACATAAGTGGGAGGGCCATCTTAACTCTACCTTGCTCTCACTGACTTGAAAAGGAAGTTGATGTCTAACCTGACTTTCCACTGAAGAAAGTAGAAGTGGGCCAGGGAAGAGGTTGGAACTCGAGAAAGCAAAGTACTGCAGGTAGTCTTAGATACAAGAGCCAGGGTTAAAACGGGTCAAGTGCTTGCCATATGCTAGTGCCATGTTAAGGCTTATCTGAATTATTGCATTTAACTTAACATCATAGCAAACCTTTGGGTTAGGGATTGCTACTGGGCACATTTTATAGATGAGAAAATCAAGGCTTAGAGAAGTAACTTACTCAACTTGACTGGAACGGAAATGAGAAAGGCCTGCAACTCTAATCTCTTAAGTCAGAGCCCAAACTCTTAACTACTTCTTTCAGAGAAGCATAGAACGACCTAGAGTCAACCAGGTCCCTGAGTACCCAAAAGGGCTGCGGGCACACAGAGTGGGGAACATCTAACTCCTTGGAAAGAAATGCTCCTTTGATATTGTGCCAGTTGTTTTTGTCAACGTGACACAAACCTAGACATATCTGGGAAGAGGGAATCTTTTTTTAAAAAAATTATTATTTTATGTGTATAAGTTTTTGTATGCTTGTATGTCTGTGTATTGTTTGTGTGCCTGGTGCTTGCAGAGGCCAGAAGAAGGTGTTGGACCCCTTAGAACTGCAGTTACAGATGGTTGTGAGCTGCCATGTGGGTGCTGGGTCCTCTGGAAGAACAGCAAGTGCTCTTACCCTCTGAGACATCTCTCTCGTCCCCTGGAAGAGGGAATCTTAATCAAGAAAATGTCCCGGTAACATTGGCCCATAGGCAAATCTGTGGGGGTATTGTCTTGATTAATGATTGGTATGAGAGGGCTCAGCTTGCTATGGGGGTACCAGCCCTGGGCAGGTGGTTCTGGATGGTGTAAGAAAGCAGGCTGAGCAAGCCATTGGGAGCAAGCCAGTAAGAAGCATTCCTCCATGGCTTCTGTTTCAGTTCTTGCCTCCAGGTTCCTCCCTTGAGAACTGAAATAAACCCATTCTTCCCCAAGTTGTTTTTGGTCATGGTGTTTATCACAGCAATAGAAACCTAATTTAAAAAGATACCTTGTGACAGGCCTCAGAGAGGGCCTTACAAAGAAGGGGGAACACTACAAAAACTGTGTCCTGTATGTTAAGAAAGCAGCCATCCACAGAGCCTTAGGAGGAGTCAGCCATCTGGTGACAATCTTTTCTGACCCACCTGGCTATGTGTCACCTGTTTTAGACTTTCCTCAGTCCCCACTGTTCATCCTGCAGGCCGCGTCCCTGATTCCCTCACTGCTGGTGAGTGCTCCAAACATCTATGGAAGTGGGGGCCCTTGGGTTCTGGCTATCATCCATTTCTCCAGGGCTAGTCGTAGAGAGGGGGTGAGTAGGGACTTAATGACATGCTTTCCTTAACTATCTTCCAAGCCTGTCATCTAGGATAGGGTTTATAAGCATTCATCAACAACACCCTAGTAAAGTAGGTTAGTAGGATGAGCCCACTGCCTGTTTGGGACTAGAAGGCTAAGACATTCCTACCAAGGCTCAGGACACAGGGGTTTTAACCACACACCCTCCTACACCACACACCCTTCAGAAAGTTGCTTGGCTATCTAGCTGTCTTTCTTCCCTGTTCCCCAACTTCCAACATCTTTTGGCAAAATGAAGGCTGGACTTTGCCTCACTTCCCACGGAACTAATTAAAGTCTACAAAGTACTTTGAGAACACTCAGTGTGGAGTTGTTGCCAAGACAGAATTACAGGTGGGAACGATGAGGAACAAGAACAGGTTAAAACTAGGATAGCTGAGTGGCTCCAAGGGGCCCCCTCAACCTCTTCATACCATAAACTTACAGGGCACACTCTCCTGACCCACGGTCATCTTATGCAAGAGCTTGCTTCTTTTCCCAGGTGACATGGACACCAAGTTCATAGTTCCATCTGCCCTCTTCCCTCAAAATCACACACAGGCACTCCAGGTAATATGGGAAGAAGTGGCTTGGATGCCTCTTGGTCTGAAGCACAGCCATTGATGCAGGGTGCTGATTGCTCTATCTTCTAGGCTTCCAGCTGTGGTTGGCTAGTAATTGCTCTTCAGCTTCTTCTCCAGCATGACCTTGACATGAGCACTTCTGTAAAGAGATTTAAAAGATTCCTCTGAGGAGTCAGGTCCTGCCCTGAAGAGTTTACATAGGAAGAAAAAAACACAAACAATAAAAGCAACCTATGGACAATTACAAAGCCATATATTCATATGAGCAAATAAAAGAGCATTGGAAAATTAAAGTTACATTCCTTCCTTCTGCACAGCTGTAGATTTTCCTTTGATTATAGATTAAGAATATCCCTGTTTGAAAGGAGGGCTCCTCACTTTTTATACTCATTGCTCATGTTACAAACGGTCCAATCTTCTGGGGTCTTTCAAGCATATTCTGCTTTTAGACAGGTGAAGTATTCCTAACCTTCAGTCTGTCAGTTTTCTATAAAACACTTTCTGGTTCCACCTCTCTCAATTTCATACCCTGACAATGGATTTCTTTGGTCCACTGTTCAAATCAACCTTTCCTGTTGTGGGACATCATGGGACCATTCAGCCTGCTTTCCAGCTAAAGGCAGACAGTAAGTATTGTGTGGTCTTTAGTTCATGTCTCAAATGTACAAATGCTAGAACACCATGAAGCAAGAAAGACAAGGGCCAAGGAAGACATCCAAACCTCATAAAGGCCCAGGAATTAATTTTCTCACCCTTTAAAGAGAAGGCTCTTGTGGCTTTTCATCAAAGCAGGAAGAGCTCTCTGTTGTCTTGATTATTCAAGTTGGCTTGTGGAAACAACAGGGATTTCAGATCTGTCATAGAAAGGCAGTCTCTGATGGGTTTGACTCAGCAAGAAGAAGAATGGATCTCTGGGGAATTTGTTTCATTCTAGCCTTTATCAAATGATAGCAGAAAGAGATGGCTATGCCCAAAGATGTGAGATAACTGAGCATGCTGGGCCAAGTTAAAACAGGAGCTGCAAACAATACCCCAAATAGAATACACAAACATAATGGCAAAAGTGGGCAGCCAGTAGTAGAAGAAATTGTCACCTCCTGCCAGGGTTATGCCATTATCAGAAGAAACAAGGGCAAAGAGAACTCATTTGAAAATGGAGATGATTCTGGCAACAGGCTCAGTCTGAAGCTGGGTTCAGTCTGGAGGTTCATCTGCCTTCAACCTTGGAAGGGAAGAGTCTGTGCAGCCCATGGTCAAGTCTAACAAACCTGGTCCCCTATCTAGCCCTGTTCTACCTGGTCTACTCTCTTCTATAACACCTGCAGTGTGCACTGATGTTGCCAATTGAATTTCTCCTCCAAACCACATTGAAGACTTTGTAAACGCAACACTGGAAAGGAATCAATTCTGTGTTTTCTTTTATTTTGAGACAGGGTCTCACCAGGTAGCCAAGGCTGGCCTGAAACTTATGATACCCCTGCTGCAGACCCTTAGGCACTGAGATTACAAGCATAGGATTATCATGAACCAAATCTCAGAGAGCAAGTTCCCCTGACATGGAAAATTATATAATATATCTCTTGAACTTGAATTGTAGATGGCCCAGTAAGTGTTTGATACTGAGAGGGAGTCCTGTCCTAGAGATGTCTGTGGAATTCAAGAATAGCAAAGATTAATGTCTCAGAAAAGCAGGTCATCGTCAGAGGAGTTTATAAGAAAGCAAAAGACAAACACGGAAACTGTCACAGAGCTTACTCTCTCTGGACAAAATTATGCAGGACCTACCAGGAAAGACAGGACCGAAGCCAGAGGTAGCTCTTTTCTTTTTATTGTTTCATAGTGCTGAGGGTCAGATCCATGTCTTGACAAACGCAAGGCAAGCGTTTTCCCAACTGAGCTCTGTCCTCAGGCCAGCTCTGGTCTATGTGTGCCCATCTGTGCATATCTGTGCATGTGCAAATGCACACATGTGTGCATGCATGTGGAGGTCAGAAGACAACTTCAGGTGCTCCTCAGGAGTCATCCACCTTGTTTTTTGAGATAAAGTCTATCATTTGGTCTGCAACTCACCAATGAGGCTAGGCTGGCAGGCTAGCAAGCTCCAAGGACCTTCCTGTCTTTGCCTCTCTTCTCTGGTGCTGGGATTATAGGTATACTTCACCATGTCCAGATTTTTTTTTAAATGTAGGTTCTGGGTGTCTGTCTCAGGTCCAGGCAAACATTTTTCCAACTGAGCTAACCCTCCAACTCCCAACTCTGTTCATGTACATGCATGTGTGCGTGCGTGCTGGATACACGTCATGGTGCATGTGTGGAGATCAGAGGACAACTTTTTGGGGCCAGTTCTCTAGTTTCACCATGGGCTCTGGGGATGGAACCCAAGTCATCAGTTTTGTGCAGCAAATGCTTTTACCTGCTGAGCTACCTCACTGGCCTAACCCTCTATTTTGAAAGAAGTCACAGATTCTCTCTGCTTGAGAACGGATTGTACAACTTGGAGTGTTAGGAAAGGGAAAGAAGGGATGATGTGAACCTCTATCCTTCATTTTTTTCTGGTTGGCTTTAATTCCAGAGCTAAGAAAAAATAAAAATAAAAAATAAAAACTACAAACATATGAAATACTGAAGTTGCTTCCAGAAACTTTGGGTTGACATTCGCCATGGGATGCACTTCAGGAAAGGGAGAGGTGTGCATTTTAATACAGAGCAAGCCTCCTGGTACAGGTAACACAGCATAGTTCATCAATCTCCACGTTGATTAGTCTCTTCTCAGCTTAGCTCTCAACAAAAGTAACAGAAAAGCCTAAGTCTATTCTTTGGACCTCCTCATTGCTTCCTCACAAGCACTCTCTGCAAAGAATCTCAAAGATTCTCTCTCTCTCTCTCTCTCTCTCTCTCTCTCTCTCTCTCTCTCTCTCTCTCTCTCGTGTGTGTGTGTGTGTGTGTGTGTGTGTGTGTGTGTGTGTGTGTGTGTGTGTAAGAGAGAGAGAGATGGAGAGGGAGACAGAGAAGGGACTTCTCTTTCTCTTTCCTTTTGAGGCAGTCATGTTTCTTAGACTGGCTTTGAGCTCACTATACAGTCAAGGGTGACTTTTACCCTCTGCTCCTTCTGCCTCCATGTCCTGAGTACCGGAATTACAGATCTGTGCTGCCATGACAGGCTTATTTGGTGCTGGGGATGGAGCCCAGAGCTTTGTGTATGTTGGGCAAACACTCTGAGCTCCATCCCCAGTTCTCCTCAAAGACTTTCTACAATAACTGTTTCTTTGTGCATCTATCCCATACCTTGCTGCTGTGAGATGAGCCGTGGAATACTCAGCATGCTCCATGGAATACAGAACTATGGAAAACATTCCTTGTCCCTTAGTGCCCAATGCCCTCCTATATAGTTTTGCCCAGACATAGATGGGGCTACAATCTACTTGAGAAACCCTTGAGTAAGAAAGGCTACTCAGGTTCTGTTTTCAACGTGTGTGTCTAACTCATCCTCTTTCAGTAGGGAACATTTATTTGCTGGGTACTTACGATGTGCCAGGCTCTGGGAACACAAAATGACTGTGATACATGCAGCTCTACCAGCCAGGCACCCACAGCAGGTAGCAGAATTGGAGAGCCATGTTTCACCCAACATAGGCAGTAGCTTTGTTTGGAAGTGTGGAGTGTGTGGGACTAATGCTCACAGTGCTGAATCAACGACTTCTCCACCTTCACTTCCTCAGAGTGGGGGAGTTAAGGAAACCACAGGAGTTTCACTAATCCCCCATCAATGGTGGCTGCTGCATTACTAGCCTCATTATTTCTTAATGGGACTTTGTTGATTACAGACTGCTTAATTACAGTGACAGATTCCCTCTTGGTTAGGGGGACCTGAGACAAGAAAATAAGGATGAGAAGTGAGGGGAGGGACTGTGACTCTAGACTATCCTCCACCTTCACCCACTGCTCTACCATGCAGATCTGGAGCTAGTATGAGGAAGGAGTCTCTGACCATTTGTGTTGGGTCCCTCACCACTGACCTCCCTCTCCAAACAATCATAGCCTCAAGGGATAAGATGAAAATCAACTTTCCCTCAGAGCTGTTTTCCCCATGTGACTTTCTCCATTAGGATTTATTATTTATTTATTTATTTATTTATTTATTTATTTATTTATTTATTTATTTATTATTTCAGTTTTTTTGAGGCAAGGTTTCTCTGTGTGGCCCTGGTGGTCCTGGAACCTGCTCTGTAGACCAGGCTGACCCTGAACTCACAGAGATGTGCCTGCCTCTGCCTCCCTGGTGCTGGGATTAAAGGTGTGAGCCAACACACCAGGCTATCTATTAGACTTTAAAATGTTTTATAATGAGAAAGAGATAGCAATATCATGTCACTACTGAACCACACTTACAGTATGATCCTTGGAAACAGGAGGCACCTGATAGATGTTTGTTGAATAAGTGAAAGATGGCAGAAAGACAAACAGTAACAAAGGCACTTGGAGGACAGGTTGCAGGAACACCTTCCCTGAGAGCAGGCTACAGGAATGCCTACACTGAGCAGCCTAACTCAGAGACCCTTTCAGGAAAGCACCCACCCACCCCACACCATTCACAGGAAGCAGCAGACGCTGGCTGATTTGACACCCAAAGGCACTTTCAACATTACACATCTATGTCAAGTGGCCAGGAGAAGAAAGAAGGGAGGAGCCCCCCCAACCCGTTCTGTGTGTGTGTGTGTGTGTGTCCGTGTGTGTCCGTCATGAAGATGAGCAGGTAAAGAGGCAGAGGAAAGGAAAGGTGAAGACAGGTATTGAGTCAGCTGCAGAGACAGAAGAGGCATTTCAGGCACTAAGCAGAGCTCTGAGGATGGTCCAGAAGGGCACAGCCCCCTTCAGATAACATGATCTTGAACTGAGCTTACTTGTCAACCCTACCATACCTGTTGAAGATGCTTTACTAGTCTTGGTTTAGTCAACTGTTGATGAGGCTTAGGCAACTGTTGATAAGTCACACCAACGACATGAAAGTGGGCAGTGACAAAATGGAGATGATCAACGTTTTCGGTGGTGCTGGGGTTGAACCTGAGGCCTTGCACATCTTAACCATGCATTCTGCTCCTTATATCACATTAATTTTAAAATCTGATTTTTATCCTGAGT